AAAAAAAAAAAAAAAAAAAAAAAAAAAAAAAAAAAAATACAATTTAAAAAGCAAAAACAAAAAAAACAAGCTACACAGGCAACAAATAGCACGATTAATGGAATGGTGCCTCACAACTCAATACTAACATTGACTGTAAATGGCCTAACTGCTCCATTTAAAGTCAGCAGAACCAGTGTGGTGGTGAGAACATCCTTGAGTCTGCCCCAGCCCCAGACTCAGAACGTGGTCCCTCCCTAACCTTGCAGCTTTAGCCTGGCAATAACCTTTCTTCAACCTCTTGACACAGAAACCAGGGTTCTTTCTAACCCTACCCTTTATGCAGTAAGGTACTGTATAGAGTTTCCTTATATGTTGTAGTTATGCCTTTATCATAGTTAATAATATTTGGGGGTGGGGTGACAGAGTCTCCTCTGTCACCCAGGCTGGAGTGCCATGGCACAATCATAGCTAACTGCAACCTTGACTCTGGGGCTCAAGTGATCCTCCCACCTCAGCCTCCTGAGTATGTGGAACTGCAGGCACATGCCACCGTGCTCAGCTAACATAGTTAATAGTTCTTTACATTTAACTTCCCTTACTTGACCTACTGTGTGGTTTCTTACCCTGATTGGGCACAGGTTACTTACTATAGGACTTTGAAGCCAGGCTGGGTAGGTTCTACAATTTGCCAGTTGGGTGACCTTGGACAAAGTTACTTTGCTCCTCTGTGTCTCAGTTTCCTTATCTGTAAAATGAAGTTAATGATAATGCTACTACCTCATAGAGTCATATGAGGATTAGTTGAGTTTATGTATATAAAGCCCTTAGAATAGTTGCTGGCATATAATAATAAATGTTAGCAACCGTGATTTTTGATTTTAAAAATCTGGCTTCATTATTTCCCACATACCGTATACTTTTTTTTTTTTGAGATGGCATCTCTGTTGCTCAGGCTGGAGTGCAGTGGTGCGATCTCAGTCCACTATAACCTCCACCCACACTAACCCAGCTAATTTTTTGTATTTCTTGTAGAGGTGGGGTTTCACTATGTTGGCCAGGCTGGTCTCAAATTCCTGACCTCAAGTTTTCTGCCCGCCTCAGCCTCCCCACTATACTCTTGTCGCTGAGTGTCTTACTGTTCCTTTGATACACAAAGCCTTTGCACAAGTTGTATGTACACTCTGTCTGATGCTCTCTTTCATATGCCTTATTTGCAGCTTTTCCCAGAAAGTGTTTATTGTTGGCTTCCATCTTCCTGCAGCTTTTTTTTTTCCTGTTCTGTCACAACTTTTTATTCATGTCTTAAAAGCAGTAGCATGCTCAGCAACTCACTCTGTCTCCACCTCTGCCATGAGCTCTTCCAGGGCACGGGTCTCGCCCTGAGCGGTAGCATAGTATAAATAGTGCTGGAGGCCGGGTGCGGTGGCTCACGCCTGTAATCCCAGCACTTTGGGAGGCCGAG